AAAAACTTTAATATAAGTTTAACATAACAGCAAATGTACAACGTTTCGACAAGGTGTTGTCATCAACAGGTTTCCTTTCTTAGGTTTCCTTCAACTGTTCTAGATGAAGTTAGGCTTCAGTGTTAAAGCACAAAATAAGCATTTAAATCTCAAATTTAATCTTTAAAAGTTGAAAATCTACAATTTGCAGAGCTATACAATCTATATGAAAACAAAGAAAACATAATAGTATGTAGAACACTCTCTCTAGATACACATGCCATCCATATGACTGAGGGTCATCTTCATGCCAACAGGGATGTTATGCCCTTAGGACATCACAAAAAATCACTGTCACTATTAATAGCAGGTCTCATGCTACAGTAATCTTTCCTAATGTGGAGCACACATGACGATCTTGAAGAATCTCCAAGTCTTCTGAATAATTAAGGCATGAAAAACTTCATGGCTCTCTTGACTGACTCCCTACATTAAGATCAATTTAATTATACAGAAATTTTGAAAATTTATCTAGTAACTGAGGGAGCAGATTATACATTAAAACTTTGCATACCTCAAATACAATGCCATCACAAGCAGACTTATGGATTAATTTTATGATAATTCATTAAACAATGTAGAGTTGAAGGACACAACATTTTCCACAAAAGTGGAAAAACTTACACAGCAGAGCATTTAAGATAGGAATAGTCTTCCAAACACACCTTAAGAAAATCCTAATACTTTCATTTGAAAAGCGCAGGATATGGTTACAAAGAAAAAAGTTACTACAATGGCAATGAGGTTAGACACATCTTGGTACCACAAACATCATAATAAAACATAATTTGAAGTTGACATAAGTTAATACATTTTCAGTTACACCTCTTCCAAACAAATGGCTTTTCTCACGAGTAATATGACCAAAGAAAACACAATCATAGCAATCATGTTTCATCACATACATGTCAAGTTCTCCAATGCATTTCCAATGGACTGTTGTACCTTTGTTTTGCTTAAACATGGTATTGGTGGGTAGATGAAAAGTTTGTCAAGAAGTGTGGTCTAAGACTTACCTTTCTGTCTTCTCAGAAAGATGCTACAGTGGGAATTGTAATGCCATACAAAAATGTCTAATCATGGCTATCAAATTGATCACAACCATCAATGTGGAAAAAGTTACAAGGAATGCATAAGGCCTGAAGCTTCATTCTTATAAAGTATGATACGTAAAGCAAATGTTTTGTAGCTTTAAGTATGTATTAATATTCCTGATCTTTAAATTCTGGAAATAAACACAATGAAGCTTCATCATCATAAGTCATGGCATCAAATTAGCTTTGTTGTTTGAAAGTCATAAACTTATATAATGTGCAAGACAGCACACATATTAAAATCATATCCTTTGCAGAGATGCTCTTGGAGAATTTCGTCAATGGTGAAACTCTAGGAAAAAAAAGATATTGGATTCCTGCTAACATGTTGGGGAGGAATTCTGAGTTTTGGGAGAAAACAATATTAACATTGTTGAGGCTACTGTTTGAGATGAGCTGGAGGAAAGTAATGATAGTTGGCTATGTCAGTCAAATATCAATTCATAATGCAACTCAGGCAGTGTTTCAACTTTTAGATTTAAAAACATCCAAAACGGACTCCAGATCTCAAATCCATAAAAACCTGGCAGAAATTAACCATTGACCCCAATGAATTTGGTTCGATAAGACAAGCTTTTGGATGACAAATTCACTCTTAAGACTTTGGAAAGATCAGGAGAAAGTGTAGGAATAGCCAAATTTTGCAATTCTTCATAAAAGGCCACTTTTACAAAAAGCTCAGTCAATGATAATTATTAAAATACACAGCACTGAACAGAAACAAAATGAAAAAAAAACGATATTCACTAAACTATAATGTGTTTTAACACTTTATCCCATGAAAACAACCCTCCAGCATTAATAAGATGCAACTTGCTAACTACTACCAAAAGAAAGGTTATATATATATATATATCATAAAGTTTGATCTTTTTAATATAAAAACAACCCTCCAGCATTAATAAGATGCAACTTGCTAACTACTACCAAAAGAAAGGTTATATATATATCATAAGGTTTGATCTTTTTAATATAAAAATCTAGCATATATATACTGCCATAATACCACGAATAAGTCAAACACTAGTCAAAATATAAAGAAGTTGGAAAGGCCAGTAGTTTCATATCTTTTAATCCTATATAGTAACTTTTTCCAATAAACAGTAATCTTACCTAGAAAATTTGTTGAGTAATTACATTAATTATGCATCTCAGAGTGTAGTGCAACAATACACATGAAAAAAATCCAAATGATATTGTTTTGAAACTAGTGCTTCACCTGGTCACTAACGATTGTTATGCTAATATTATAATATCAATCAACTTTTTCTCCTTTTTAGTTTCCTTACTTTTCATTATATAATTTTATTTTTTATGTGGCATTTTATATTTTAATACCATTTTTGTTAATATTAACATCCTTTAAAAAACCTCTTAGGGAAGCTTTATGAAATTATCTTTATATGTTAAATATTTCATTTTAATGCCACCATAAAAATATCATCTTACTTAGGAAAGTTTCAAAAACAACTTAATTTTTGTTCTTGAATGAACTTACCTTTGTTAAAATTCTCATGAATTTTCATGTCTGCTATTTCAAAATCTTCTTCATATTTGTCCACTTCATTATTATTAAATTCTCCAACTCGAATGAGATAGTCAGACTGTTGATACTTCCTTAGTAAAAATACTTAAACCATTAAAAACATATTACAGAAATTTAAAAACTTTTTGATAAAGTAAATAAAATTATTACACACATAACAATGATTAGTGTGAAACATTTTCTACAACTATAACATTATCAATCATAATATACATAAACCAAATCTATTTTTTGCATATGATATATACCTGTATTTCAATCTCTATCCTAACAATGTACAGAAAGAAGTATGGCAGCATCTCAATTAGTGAATGTGTAGTACATGCAAACAAACAAGTATAGCATGATGGGTTAAGACTTATTTTCAACCATATTCCTGAAAAAGGTTAGTTATCATACAATATTTGTACTTTCTAAAATGTTCTTAACAATATTTCTTTAAACAATTTAGCTGCATGCTATTTTTTTATATAAAATTAATGATGGTAATATGTAGACATTATGCCTGCTAGGAATGTTGTTTTTACAGTAGTCATAAACAAAGTAATAAATCTAAGATCTAAATACAAAAAAAAGTTTGAATGATTTCTCTTTTTTTTTTCATTTGCACAAGTGTACTTACTCTAAACAATGAGCAGCACTAAGAACAAAGTAATCTGTGATGATCACTCCTCCACACCAGTGAAAGCTTGTTGAACCAGTATAAATCCTAATATCAACCTGCCATGGGTATGCACCATAGATAGTCTCAGAGCCTCCTACAATTCTGGCTGGGTTGGATTGATTGTATGTGAACCCTTGGCTTCGAGAGCTTTCTGAAGCTACTCCCGTGTCATTCATATGTAGCTCTTCATTCAAATTCACATGCAACTGATCTGCATAATCAGGGACTCCACATTGAACTGGCTCTGAAAGATAAGTTAAAGCTTTAATTATTTATGGAATAAGTACACTAAATGAGTTGTTTTATTTTCAAAAAAGATTTTGGACATTTGAAATATCACATTTTACAAATTACTAACAACTTTTATACAAAAAAATCTTATTTATATGATATTTTATACAGAATACATTCTACATCTTTATTTCATTTGGAGTTTAAAAATTTAGATGGACGAAACACCAAAGAAAAAGATATTGGTTTTGATGCACATATTTAAAATTTATATCAATTTTCTAAGACATCCAGAATAAAAACGTTAATGTGTTGTATCCAATACAATAATATTTTAGTATTTAATTTTTCAGTACTACAGATATAGAAATAATTCATTTCTGGATGGTAACTAAGAAAACTATATTCAGTCAAGGATTATGTCAGATAAATGTTTTTAATAGATCTGTGTTTGATTTAAATCTAAACCTGCAAGGAAAGAAATGAAATTCAATGTAATTCTTTCAACCAGTTTGGTTTCTAGAATTTCATTTATTAAATCCCAGAAGATTTAATTTGTTCAAGAAAGTGACATATTTGGTAATGAAATCTAATTTGAAATAAGCCTCAAACTATTTAGTCTTTTGTAGACATTATATGTCAGTTTTTAAATGACATGACTTATATAAAATGGAATCCACAGTAGGTATATGATAAACTATCTGCTTCCATTTGCTGAATATGGCTTAGCACTGAATGACTTTTTACAAGAACAAACTCAACACTGAAAATTTAGGATTATGAAGTTTGAAACAGTAGACTTCTTCATTGAAGCTAGCTCTTTCCAAACATCTTCCTAGTACACAATAAATGTAGGATCATAGAAACTTCTATGATAATTTTAGAGTTCTAAAGTTACATTTACCAGATTTTGTGATTATAATTGAAGAGAAGGCTTTAGGTAAAGCATATTTTCAGTTGAAAAGAAAACACTTACCTACAGGTGGTTGCACTGAAGGTGTTGGTGATATATGAGTAGAACATGAAACTCCTGCATCTTCATTATGCCTACAGTTATTTTGACCCCAGGGAGGTTTGGAGCATTTGGAAATATGGGTTTCTGTCCCATCACATTCAAGTTCATCAACCCAAATTTGTCCTTTTCCAGGCCCAAAATACCCTTTTATATGTGCATGAGCACTGCCACTTATAAGTGAGAAATGAAACTGATTAGTACAATTAAAATACTCACTTCGTTTCCTGTACCGTTTTACTTGCACTAGTATTTATTTTATACTATCATCAATTTAGGACCTATGCTGTATGAAACTATTGAAAAAATATTAACCCAAATACATATATATATTTTGTAAATGCCTAACATATATTACATTCTTAGCTCAACCTTCATAACAAGGGGCCATTTGGTCCTTCAAGGTTGTCCTTGTATGGAAGTATATTAATAAGAGCACCAACACATAAGCATCTTTTAAAGTTGAAAATTTTTATGATAATTTTTAGTGTAACTAATATTTATATTTTTCACAAAAACT